CCCGCACCCCGAGGACGCCCCCTCCGCAGATGCCGGGGCCGCTGCCGCCAGCAGGCCGGCCTCGAAACGTGAACTCTCGGAAGCCGCGGCCGCGGCCCCGGGGCTGCCCTCTGCCCCCGAAGGCCTGTTCCTCGTCGATGAAGATCCAGTTATTCCTCTTTGTTGGGGGGGTGTCACCGGACTCCCGGGGCGGTCTGGTCTCCCAGGCCCTGTCGGCCTTCTCGTCCTCTTCTGACTTGCTGGCCTCGCGGCCCAAACGAGCACGGGCCGAGGCCTGGCCCTCCGAGGCGGCGGGGGCAGCGTTGGCCAGCGTGGGGTCATTTTCCTCGTCCTCGTCCTTTCCGGCCTGCTGACTGGGGGCCTTCTCCTCAGCCAGGTGGGTGCTCTCCTCCCCCAGCTCCCGCTTACTCTTCTCCAGTTCCTTATCCTTGTCCTCCACCTTCAGGGCTTTGAGGACAGGCTTCTTGATGGGCCCCGACCGCCGGGTCCTGCCACCCTGCTCCTGCTGCTGGCTGCTGGGGCCCCGGGGCTCAGGAGCCCACTCGGGCTGCAAGGGTGGCTGCTGGCCGGTCCCCACCTCCTTCTCCCAGGAGGAGACGTTAAAGGACGGCTCCTCCTGGGGCGCCTCCTTCTCCACGCTGCCAGCTGTGTCGGCAGCCTTGGGCTGGTGGCCAACGTCCCAGCTGCTATATTCTGGCGTTTTCTCTGCAGGGGCAAAGCCGGGCTCCAGCGGGGAACACCTGAGGTTAGGGGCGTGACCCCCAGGAGCACCTGCTTCCTGTACATTTTCTTGGGGTGGAAACAAAAGCTCCTGGCCTATTCTTTGAGAGGAGACACAGCTGTCAAAGTCTGCTGGGGCCTTCTTGTCAAAGGCACTCAAGTGCTCCTCCCCTCTGTCCTCAAGACCACGCTGGGCACTTAAAACGCCCCCTGACCTTCCGGGTGAGGCAGGGTAAGAGCTTTCATTCCTGAAAAGGAACCAGAAAAAGCAGTCAATGTGATTTGAGCCTGGTTCCTATTTTCCATGTTGAACACAGAGCTTAGTTTTAAAAAGAAAAAAAATGTAAAAAAAAAAAAAAAAAACCAGAAAAAAAAAATAAAAAAGAAAAAGGAAAAAAACCAAAAACATAAGCACCAACATTTCGTCTATCTTTACACAGGTCTCAGTGGCTGGGCAGTGGACGGGTCGGCGGCCCTGGAGTCCGGGCGTCAAGAGCGCGGAGGCTGCTGGGGGACTCAGCGAGCCACCGGGACACGGGGCGGCTGGGGATCCTCTGGTTCGAACGAGTCGGAGCCTGGGAGTCCGCGAGGTCTGGGGCGCCGGGCCAGCTTGCTTTGCTTTCACAGGAAGGAGCCAGGACCCACGTGCTCAACCCCACCTGCCCTGGGAGGCCCCACCCTCTCACCCTGCCCACAGTTCAGCGATGCCTTTGGCCCAGGATTGCTCCCCGGCCTTCAGTCCTGCCATCAGATAAGCGCCTGTCACACGAAAGCATTCCAGCAGTCCCCGTCACACGCCCCTCCCAGAGTGCACTGGCATCCCTCACACACGCCCCTCTCCCTCGGGCGGTGTCCCCTGGGGCAGCCCTGAGTGGAGTGGGGGGACTCGGGACCAGGAGTCTTCCTGTGGGCGCGGTCACCATGACCACGTCTGTCTCACCTGACGTGCATGTCCATGGCCAAAGCGTCGCTGGACTTCGGGTGGGGAAGCGAGTAGCTCTTGCTCTGCAACGCCATGTAGCCCTCGGGGCTCCACACAGGAGCTGGGTCGATGGCAGTCACTTTTCTCTCTTGCAGTGGGGGCACACGACTCTGATCCTCAGAGCGACAGCCGGTCCCACAGAGGGAATCCTGGGGCATCATGGGCTTCATCAGTCCTGGGGAAGGAAAGGACTCAATTATGGCATCCTGTCAGAGAGCCAGGCTCCAATCTCAGGGTCGACCAAAGGCCCAAAGGAGACAACAGTCACCCCTGCGACCACCATGTGGACACGGCACCCCACCGGCCTAGCAATGCTGGGATCTCGAGCTTTTCTGGCCACAGATCCCCGAAGCCACCCCACGCAATCTGAGCTGTGGAAAGACCTGCTCCTGGCCTGCGAGTCCAATCTGAGCTTCTGGTTCAAGCAGCCCTGTGTTGGAGGGCACGCGAAACCAGGAAATGGAACTGGGGACAGCAATCTAGAGAGTTCACGGACGTCGGCAGGAGGAGGGGCCCGTCAGTCAGCAACACGACCCTGTGTGAGCAGACGCCTGAAGGTGTCTGCAGGCATGAGGAAGACGCGCCTACCTGGAGTAACAAGCTGGCGTTTACGCGCTTCGAGGTTTGCAAAGGGATTCTGGCTTTAGTTCCCTTCATCTCTAACCCTAGGATCAAAAGCAACACTCCACTCCACGATTTTGCACGGGAATGGCGGGTGGGTGGCAAAGCACAGTTGATGACAAAGTGGCCCGAGGAGTTTAGGATAAAGGTGGCATCTCTGTCCTACCACTGCTAAACCAGCTGTTCACGACTCTCACATACTCGGGTGGCCTGGGGCAGGTGATAGCAAAGGTCCCCCTGGGGCTCGGTCTGTGGAGAAAGATGATCTGATTTGTCATAGTTTCTTAACAAAGCTCATCAGTAGCCAAAGCTGCTGTCAAGCTCGTTTTTAAACTGAGGTAATCTGGCTGGAAAGCAGCTCTGCACCAGGCCGGCGGTTTTAAGCTGCACTTCAGGTGTGTGGTGCTCTGTGTAAATGCTGACAGGTGACGCCAGAGGTGGTGGGGACCCTCTCTAGAACCCTCAAATCACACACCTTTTCTCAAGGACTGTTTATGAGATAGGCAGCTAAACTACTCACATTATACATCAGCTCCGTTTTGGCAACATGGCAGAGCCCTATTACCCGAAAACCGTCCCGCCACAAACATGCTGGACAGAACATGTCACTCACTCACTTGCAGAGCTATGTCTCCCCTAGAAAACTAGAACCCCCCAGGGAGCTCGAACCCCAGCCACAGGCCTGACCCTGAGCTGGTACCTCCTGAAGGGGGGAAGGGGGACACACCTGTCAGTCTTCCTAACCTGCGGGCTCAGCCTTCAAGGCCCCCACAGGACAGGGGGTAGGGCTTTCCCACACAAGGCAGATGCTGCTTAAAACCAAGACCCTCGAAGGGTCAGGTCCTCCTCAAAAGTGGATTTGAAAAGCACATGCTCTTTCGTACAGGGAATGATTAAGTTTGTGTCTTAGCCCAGGGCAGGGTAAGGAAAAACGGTCCCTCTCTAGGAATCTATAGCCACATGCCAGCTTTCATATGGGTTCTGGGGAGAGGGGAGTTCAGACTTGAAGTCCCCGACTGGTCCAGAAACCCCCAGGGAAATGAAAGGTGGTTCTAAGCTGGCAGAACCCTGGAGGAACATGCTCAGCCCAGGCCACACCAGATCTCCACTACAAACAGAGCTCTGTGAAAGATGAACTCGCAGTCTGACACTACCCAAACACGTGTGGGGAGCAAGCCTGCAGGAGTCCCCGGCAAGCCCACAGGATTAGACGCCACCCCAAGAACTTCAAACGATAGAATGATCTGTTCAACACCAGAAAACTATGTTTTAAATGATCAAAAAGTATAAAAGAATTTTTAAAAAGTATGATCCTCTCAAAATAATAGGGTTGAGGAAAAAATTCTAGTGATAAGTGTCATAAAAATTAAAAACTCATTGGACAGTTCAAAAAAAGGCAGATTAAACACGGCTGGAGAGAAAACTGAACTGGAGACAGTTCTGAGGCATTTTCTCAGAAGGCGCCACTGAAATAACCTCTCATGTATTTAAGAGACTTGGAAGACAGACTGAGAAGGTACAAAATAATCCAAGTGGGAGTCCTGGAAAGAAAGGATACAAAGGCAACATTTGAATCGACAATTAAGAGAATTTTCCAGAAGTAATGAAAGACATACACCCTTAGGTCGAGCACCGAGTTCCAGGCAGAACGAAGTCAGAACAGATGCAGATGTGCATGTAGTAGACACAGCACATCGAGACAAAGCTGCAGAGATCAAAGACAAAGGGGAGACCTTAAAAGCAGCCAGAGAAGACAGAGTGGATTCCGACGTAATGCAGACTTTCAGCAGCAACAGGAGCCAGAGAAGATGCAACATCATCTGTACAGGCTGAACGTAGCTGCCAACTGAGACTTCTGCAGCTAGCTACACTGCCATTCAACAGAAAGGGTGACATGAGACTGTTTCAGGCAATCTACTGCCAAAAAACTGTCTGGAGGATTCGATAGAGATATGTATGTCATGAAGAAGTAAACTGAACTCAGATAGAAGGAAAAAGATGCAAGAAGGGAAAAGCAGCAAAGAAATTAATAAACATACAGGCAAATCTGAACAAGCATAGATGGATAAAACAACAAAAACATTAACGGTTCATCAGTGGGCATGAGAACAGGCAAGAACTACAAGTCTCAGCGGAAGCCAGAGGTGAAACTGATGAGGGGTAACAGAGTTCAGGTGAAGGGTGAGAAAACACCTTGATTAGCCTTTGCTAATAAGAAGTCAAGGGCACATGTCAAAATTTAAAGTAACCACACTAAGATAGAAAAGAATATAGAAGAAAAACAATAAAAAAAGGGGAAATTTGATCAAAAAAAAAGCACAAAAAAGAGAATTAAACAGAAAGCATCAAACAGGAGGGTAAGAAACTCAAACTTCATACTCCTAGTAATTCTACAGGGATCAGCTCTGGCAATAAAGTCACAGACTTTCAGAGCAGGTGAGACCACACGCAGCTTGCATGTACGAAGATATACTCCCCAAAAATGGGCTCAGAGAGGCTGATGGTAAAAAGCTGGAAGAAGGACACCAAACGATCACTAATCAGAAGAAAACTGGGATGACGTTGCCGTCAGACAAGTAAACGTTAAAGGCAGCAGCACAGTCCATGGGAACGAAGGAGCACCCCCAGACAAGGCCAACACAACGAAGGAGCACCCCCAGACAAGGCCAACACAACGAAGGAGCACCCCCAGACAAGGCCAACACAGCAGGCTCGCCAGCTGCGAGATCTCAACACACCGCTCGGCAATGGATCAAGGGCATAAAAATTGCGATGGATGATGGGACAGATATTCGCAGAGCACAATTAGCAAGCTCAATTTAACGGACTACCTCCAATTAGAGAACATCTATTCTTTTCAAGTAAACATGGAATGTTAAAAAAAAAAAAAAAAAGACCATGTTACGGTCTACAAAGAAAATTTCAACGAACGTCAGGCCGCCCGGACTGGGGCCCAGCTGGCAGCCCTTGAGAGAAATCTGACCCGCCGCCTGCTCTAGAGATAGCTGTCCTGGAAAGTGACCGTGCCTTGTCCCTTACCATCGTCCATGGCTGTGTCTGCTCTACAACAGCAAAACGGAGCAGCTACTCTGCAAGCTTACAATATCCACTTCCTGGCATTTACAGAAGTTTGCTGACCCCAGTCTATCATACAGACCGCATTATCTGACCACGAAGAATACAAACTCACACCATAAGGATAATCTTAAACTCCTACATATGTGGAAAATTTATAACATACCATTAAAAAATAATAAAAAAAAAATCAAAATCAGACTAACGTTTAGAACTGCACAACAATAAAAGTCCTGTATCTAACACTCACAGGAGCTCACAGCTCAGGTAACAAGTATTTACATCAGAAAAGTTAAAAATTAACAACCTGAGCATCCAAAACAGTTAGAAAAGGAAAATAATTTTGAAGGAAATGAGAAAAAAAGCAGAAATTAATGGGGGAGGAAAAAAAAAGATAAAATAGAGGAATTAAGAAACCCAAAAGCTGCTTTTTAAAAATGGCATTAGATAAACCTTGGGGAAGACTAAGCGAGGGAGCAAACAGAGGAGGCACGAAGAACGGTAAGAATGACAGAAAGAGCAGAGAGAGAGGAACGAGAGCCCAGGAGATAAACGTAATTAAAGGCGCTGGTAATGCACGATTTTAAAGATTCTGCCCAAAGACTGACAGTCGCTGTTAGCGTATATACCCTCGCATTCTGCAGACGCACAAGACTCAGACGGGCCGTGTGAGACGAGAACCCGGTGGCTCGAACGCCTGAGGCAGCACCCCCATCGCCACTCTGCGCGGTGGCCCGCTAGCCCCCTGCTTGCTTACCCGAGGGATGCAGGGCCGACGGGTAGAAGTCCACCGGGGTCCGAGTGGGCGTGATCCGTGGGTCCATGTAGGAGGGCATCATCATCCACCTGGGGTCGAAGCCCAGCATCTGGGGGTGGTGTGGGTAGAAGGTGCGCTGTGGGTGGGAGGGCGGAGGGTACATCGGCTGCCAGTGCTGCATTTTGTACAGCTGCTCCTGACCAGGGAGAAAGACCCAATGAGACAGGTGCTACGGGGCAGAGGTGCCACCCCACGCCCCACGCACACACACGCACACACACGCACACACAGTCCTCCAGCGTTCCATCAGGTGGCACAGAAAGCCCACCAGAACAGAAGGCCAAGAGGAAAGAGAGACTCCGGTGCATTACGGCTTCCAGGCCATGGTCCCGCTCCCAAAACCGGGTGGACAGTCATGCCGTCATCTGGACCCGAGCCCAGGAGCCCCCCGGCTACCAGGCGGACTGGGTTTCCACTGAGATCACACGCTCTCCTAGAAGCGGCCAGCGCAGCCACAGGAACCTCTCCTACCCGAAACCGCTGCCCAATGACATCGTCGGACGAGGAGAGCCGACTGGGCCGCCCACTGCCCACGTGTGAAGGAGCTGGCCCACCAGCCTGCAGCCGGGCTGGGTGCTCCGGGTGGCTCTGGCACTCAGGGGCCTCTGGGGTCCGCGGCCTGCAGCACACGGAGCTCTCCCAGCCCACACCGGAGGCCGGGCCTCCACCCACAGCGACCCCTCACGCCTAGACCCCAGGTCCCCAGGAACCTGAGCCGACAGGAAGTTGGTCAGACCCCTCAGGCTGCCCTGGCGCTTTCAGACTTCCCATTCTTCAGGGAGGATTTGCCCATCACTGCCCACCCGGAGAACTGCTACCACTGCGTGTGGCTTGGGGGGGTCCCAGAGAGCTCCCCAGTCGGTCATTCCCCAAGCCACGCGTGACTGCCTGATGCTCACCTGCGCCCCCACCCACAAACCCACAAGTGACCGGACCCTCCTGGAGAGAGCACCGGCCCCGTGGACCCCGGAGCGCTTCCTAGGAGCCCAGAGAAAGGGGATGGTTGTAGAGGCAACTAAGACAGACTCCGGAAGAGGCTCAAGCCTTGGATTTGCTCCCCCGGGGCACACGTGCGGAACACTTCTCTGTTATCATTAGTAACAACTGACTGTGCGCCCAGCTGCCGGGCTAAGTAACGTCCATGCACCTTCTCAGGGTCCCCCAGACCGCAGTGCCCACCAGCACGACACCTGTCCCGTGATTGCTCCCATGAGGCACGAACTGCCAAGGCAAGCTATCAGATCCAGATGTTCGGGATAAGAGCTCACTGAGATTACAACCCTCACAGCAACCATCACCTGCAAGATCTCTTCTCCAGGGCAGTGGGCAGGTCCCTTTTAAGGTTTACGAGGCCAATAAAGTGATTCTGATAACACTGATAACTCAGGTTTATGGGCGTCATAAAACCCTCACCTCCAGTGAGGCAGGTGTGCCCACTTCCTGGCTGACACACATAGGACTAGATAAGCTGCACCATTAGGATCAGATACAGGGCTCCCTGGTTCAAGACCTACAGCCCTCCTCCTTCACGCCTCTCTGACAGTTCTCCAAGCAACCCCCAGGCCTCTCCCTCCTTGGGAAGGTCCTAGGGTGGGGCCACACAGGGCTAGGGAGCAGCCCCGGCAAACGGCTCCAAATGAAAAAAACCTCTCTTCCATCCAACCTACACTGAGACCAGTGCACACACCACTACCTGTTCCCACCAGTATCAGACACGATCAACAAACTCCCAACCTTCTACTCATTCGCAGGAGAAGTAAATAATGGTCAGAGCTGACCTACCGAAGCCCTATGTGTTGAGGTACAAGTCCTGCCACCCCCGCTGGTGGCTGGGACACATGACGGTGGATTCTTGCTTTAAGTGAAGGGGGCGTGGGAAGGGGAGGGGGACGTCCGCTCAGTAGTCAGGTCGGTTAACTAAGACCTCTGAAATGCCCTATGTTTACCTGTTGCTGCTGCTGCTGCTGGCGCTGGAATCGGGGAGGAAGTGACTTCTGGTACTTGCTGAACTCCTGTGCAGGGGACCCCGCCTCCCTGGCCCCCTCCTCACTGCTGCCGCCCTGAGCCACGGCTGCAGGAGCCGTGGGGGCTTCTTCTGGAAACGTGCCGGGAGCTTCCTGGGCAGAGAACTCGGGGGAGCCTGGAGAACAAATAGCCAGAGAAATGGCCCCAGTGAGCTCACGAAAGCTTGGCCAGACAAACAGCAAACGCCTTTTCTCGTGGGCACTTCCAGTCCCCCGCTAGACTATTCACACCCCGAACCCTGGCGCAATGCTAAATGCTTCACACGCACGAACTCGTGGATTCCCCACGTCACCAACGCTTTAGAGAAAACGGAGGTTTCAAAGGTTAGGTGAACTGTCTGAGGTCACGGCGCCAGCGGTGGAGCTGGGGACTGAGTTCAGGTGGGAAAAGCTTCATTAAATAGGACCCCTGTAAAACAAAGCAGCCCCCAGCTCAGCAACGGCCCACACACCCACCCTCGGAACAGCACGACTCAACACACCCCAAAGCTGTGACCGGGTGCGTCATTACGCCTCTCCCCGCCCAGTTCTTCACCCGTAACTGCACCTTCCCCACAGTGCGTTTGTGAGAAATTGCGTCAGGTGATCCGCGTGATGGACTCAGACCGGCACCGGACAGGAAGTGCTCCGCGTGATCTCCCATCACCTTCCCTCTGCCTCGTCCTCGTCCCCGCTTTGCGTTCCTGTTTCCTCCCCAGCGTTACTGAAGCGTCACGGACGTCTGTGTTCTCGGTTCTACTGCACAGGGCGAGCGGGCTAAGGAGCCCGATGCCACGCCTCTCGGACCCAGCAGCGCACCGCAGAGGAATTCGCAGAAAGGCGGGGACCCTCCACTGCACCCGACACCCAGGCCCACCCCGGGGACCAGGATCCACCGACCATGCTCACACTAAAGCTAGCTACTCCCTGGACGCCCCACTGGCCCGTCTCAGCGAGGACTGCGAGACGAGGCACAGGCTTCACGCAGCCCTCAGCGGAAGGAAATCTGCAGAAGCACAGAGGTCCACTTTCCCAAGCTCCTCGGCCCAAAAGGGTCCCGTGACTCCGACCCCCAGCAAGACCACCCCGAAAAGCCTTCAGGGACTGAAACTAACATCAGGCCCGTCGTCTCTCCTAAAAAGGATTTGGTTTTAACTGATTTAAGAAAAATCACAAAGAGCACAGCTGATCGTATCCTTTAAAACTGCTATGAGACAGTCTCCCTCACGCGGCCACGTGCTCCATTCCCGTAGAATCAACGCCAGCAGAACGCCTTGTTCCGGGCAGCCCGGCTCCTTTCAACGCCCCGTGAAAGGGCCCTGTGCGTCACGAAGCCCTCCGGCACCTGCCTCTCCGGCGGGGCTGGGGGCGTGCTGACAGCAGTGACTATGACAATGACAAAGCTGGTGGCCATGCCCGTACGCACACGCGTGCTTCCTGCACCCAGTCACTGTGCACGGGGCTTCCCGCGCTACGTCACGTGGCCCCTCAGCACGCAGGGAGGGACGCACTACGATCACCGCTTTCACAGACGAGGACACAGGCTCCGGAGAGGTGTGCAGCCACCTAGTTTTAGTAATTGAAACAGGATGTGAACCCAGGCGTTCGAGCCAAGCTGAAGCTCGTAACGACGGATGCTCCCAGTCCCATCTCGCTGTGAGCCACAGGCTGTGCGAGGAAGCCGGGGAGATGCCCACAGAGCCAGCCGCCACGGCAGCCCAGGCTTTCCAGGCTGCGGGACCAGGGCCTGGCGCTCACCTTTGCGGACGGCAGGGCCATTCTCCTGTGGGGGCGCCTTCTCGGTGCCGGGAGACCGGGGGACTTCCTTCTCCACCTGCGCCTGGGCCTCGCTGGCCTTCTGGGCCTGCCTACACTTCTGGTCCAGCTGCTTGAGCTTGGCGGCGCAGGCGGCCAGCCGCTCCTCCCGGGCACGGCGCTCCTCCTCCTCCCGGCGCTTGCGGGCTCGCTCCACGGCCTCGGACATCTCCGACTGGACGAACTTCTGCCGTGGCGGTGGCTTGTCCTCTTTGTCCTCGACGGACTGCTGCCTGAACACGCCGCCCATGGAGGACTTCTGCCAAGAGAAGAGAAGTCTCTGATGAGACGGGGCCGCTCCCTTTACGGGACCCTTCCCAAGACCCTCGAGCTCCTTCGAGGGGCCACTGTGATGCCTCGAGCGGACCCGAGTTTTAATCCCGTTCTGCCCTTTTCCGTATTCGGCACGAGGTTTGGGCAAGTGCCACCGCTCTGGACCTTGGTTCCTCATTTGCAAACTGAGGATGATGGAGAAAGGCCCGGGATTGGGAAGATGCCCAGAAATGGGTACACAGCACTCAACGCTGTGACCAACACGCAGGAAACACTCGGTAAGTGGACGCTCGCCACCCCAACGCGTACACAGATGTGGGCCCCCGTGGCTCACTGACAGGACCTGGAAACCACAGTCACCATTTCTTAGTCACAAAACTGCTCTACTCCCCTCTACCCCGAAAATAAACAAACCTCTGGGCATAAACAGTGACGAGAAACTGAAATTCATAGTCAAACAGTTTCAAAATGGTTCTTTATATAAAGACGAAAAAGCTTCTCAAAAAACATCTCTTTTGGGTGTTTCATTCACTTCCAAGCCTCTCACTGGCTGTCTCACTGGACAACGACCAGCAATGTGAAAAACTCATCACTGGGACGGGCTCTCCCTGGTCTGCAGGCAGGGAAGCTGAGCACACGAGCAGGGGCAGGCTGCACGGAGCCCCAGCCACTAAATTCCCGTGAGCCACGACGACCCAAAACACGTGCGACTTCCTGTCTGGAGTGGTAATTACACGGATGTGTTACACAGAACTGTCAAAAGTCGTCAAACATTAAAGAAACCAAGATCTCTGCCTTTTCTTGTACGGTAATTCCACCTCCACAAACGCACTATGCGGCGCATCTCGCGGAGTTTCCTCATAACCTGGAGACAGCTGGCGCCGCCGTGAAAGGTGATAAACTCCCCTTCACACAGCAGAACGGGGCCGAAGCGGGCACACTCCCTGCACTCCGCTCTCGAATGTCAACTTCGGTCCACGCGCTGTGACGGCTGAGCGCTGTCTCACCGCATGGCTCACACCCTAATCTACCGCACACCCGGGCATCCAGCACCCCCTGCAGAGGACCCATCGGGAATTCCTAGAAACGGAACAGCAGAATCGAAGGGGGTGCGCATCGTCGAGACGTTTGCTATGCCTTTCTAAACTGCCCTAAGCTTAGCTATCATCTGATGGACTATAATGTTCCATAAAATATTTGAATTACGACAATCTCTTCAAAAATTTGCAGGCATAAAATTATACAGATTCCCCGCGGTCGACTCTACCCATCATGAACTCGCAGTGCTGCGCTAGCAAGAGCCACATGAAGCCTTGGGGACTGGGCAGCCCCACTGCACGAATCTAGGTTAAGTTCAGGGAGCTTCCAAGAGCAGCACCGAGTCTATTCTGTTTTGCTTCTGTGTCCCCTGTACCCAGCACAGTGCCTGGCACAGAACAGGTGCTCAGTACAAAAGACTGAGGCTAATGAGCATTCTCGCCTTCTAAGGACACGGACCCTCCAGCAAGGTGCCCTGGAAATGCAGGTTCCGCAAGTGTATTTCAATCAACGCCTTTACCGCCCCAGCTCTGCCCCGCCGGAACATTTCCATCCTGAAGGACGACGTCCCACGAGGGGTGGGGAAAAGGTCAGCATCTGGCACGACAGTCACGGTCGCTCAGAGCAGGTGGTCCAAGCCCAGGCGGGCGAGGAGGGCAACCCTGTGGAGAGGGGGCTGGTGTGGGAGGTGGAGCCCACCCAAGCTGGGCGAGGGCGAAATTCAGAGAGAGAGAGAGAGAGACGGCCCCGCAGGGAAACCAGGGCGGCCACATGGGCGCGGACAGCGGAGCGGGTGAGGGCATCTGTGCGAGGGGGAGGGGCAGGGGCAGACATGGGAGACAGGGCACACACGGGGGCCTGACCAAGTCACTGCAGACACTACAGGCAACGGGAGACACTCCCCACTGCTGGAGAAGCGAGGGACAGATGTGCGATGGGGGGAAATGAGAAGGAGCTCTGTGTGACTGGCAATACTGCAGAGGAATAATGAAGGCATGAGTGTGTCTCTATGGACGCGCACACACACCTGTACACACAAACATTCCCTGACCGTCCACTGAGAGGCCAGGAGCAGTGACGCCCCCAGTGCAATGACCAGTCCTGGGGCCCACGACTGGTTTCTCAATACCTTGAGGGGCTAAGGCAGGGCGAGGACGAAAGGTGCTTAGAAAGGCTTGTTCTAAGCAAGCAAGGAATTGCTCAAAAAAGGATGGAGACATGTAAAAAGGATGAGGACTCAAGGTTGAAGAGGCTCCCAACGGCCAAATTAAAGACGATTTGAGCTTCAAAACAATGAGTAACAGATTATAACTCAACTCATATAAATAAACTCAAAGTTGAATGAGAAACAGGACATTCAGTCTTAAAGTATCTCCCCACCAATGCTTATCAACTACAAGTGTAGACGAGAGTAAATCCACAGTGTCACACTTGGTAGGCACCGCACTAATCAAGAGATCCAAGGGCAGAGGTCAGAGGGGGCCAGAGTGGGGTCACGGTCACCCGCCAGGATGCGATGAGAGGCAGTGTCATTTCTGAGAGATTCCAGCCGAAAGAGGAAACCCTGAACCTGAACGCAGGGAAGGACCAGACAGACCCGGCTGAAGTGCATCCCAGAGTGACCAGCTCGTGACAGTCAAAAGCACCAGTCACGAGAGCTCGAGAAAGGCTGAGGAGCTAGTCCCAAGTGAAGGGCACAAACAGAAAGGACGACGAAGGCAGCGTGTGATCTGAACTGGACTCCCCGTAAAAAGGACATTAGTAGGACGATTAGTGAAAGCTGAATGAGGGCTGAGGACCAGGTGGCAGTGATGTATCTGTACTGATTTCTTGGTTATGATTGCGGTTACGTGGAAGAAACGTCGATTTTGTGTAAGCATTAGTAGATACCAAGTGCTCTACAGTGATAGGGCCTGATCGGGCTGGCAACTTACTCTTCAAACAGCTCAGAAAAAAAGTATCCTTTGTATTGTACTTCGAACTTTTCTATACGTTTGTGCTGGTTTCAGAAGTTTAAAAGAAATTTTTTTAATTAAAAAAAAAAGAGAGATAAAAAGGTCCACTGTGACTTTTCAGAAACCCAGACACTGAACTCAGCAAGATACAAATGCACAGGACAGCCACGCAGATGCCCTGTTGTGGTGTTTGTCTTGGAACTCTGGCCAAATGAGTGTGAGGAGACGGGGAGGAGGCGGGGGAGGGGAGGGGGAGCAGATGGAGAGGGAGAGGGAGAGACACCCAGCTACTCAGACACAGAACCCCTCCAGGGCCCACAGTACCTGGTAGTCAGGGCCTGCCGCCCAGCTGTGAAGCTTCCTGGACGGTGGCTGAGGTTCCGGCACCTTCCGGACGGCCCGAGTCATGCCCACCGTCTCGCTCCAGTCCTTTCCTTCCTCTTGGGCACGCTTGGCATCGGCACTGTCCGCAGAGCTCATGGACAACTGCCGCTGCCTCCTGGGGTCCCAGCTGTTCCTAGAACAAACCGCATCGGGTGTCAGCTGCCCCAGTCAGCCAGCCTGCCAGGGTCTCAGCACACTGGCCGGAGGCCCTAAATCAGCTGTCTACATGCCGATTTCCTTCGTCAGAACAGACCGCCCCAGCCCCCCGGCCTTCACGGGTGGGAGGACGCGCCCAGACCACCAAAATCCAGGCCGACGCTTACCAAGTCCTTCTACACACAAAGCTCCAGGCAGGATGTCTCACATCCATTACTTCGTTTACTGCCTCCCCCCCAACACGTCCTCGCTCCCCCCATTTGAAAGTGTGGGTTCACTGAGTCTCAGGGAAGTTGGGCAGCTGCTCTTCTAGGAAGGCGCTAACAGATTTGAACCACGGACTCCCGGACGGAGGTGCCTCTCACTCCACAGCTCCTTCCCTGCGCTCTACACAGAGGAGGCGCCCAAAATGCGCCTCAAACGGCAAGACGGCTCACCGGATGCCGGCACAGTCGAGAGAGCAAGAGGAGGAAGGCAAAGCACACACGGCTCGGGGGAGAAGGGGGCGCCACGTGGCGGCTACGCGAAGGCTCCAAGAGAGGGGAGCGCTGACCAGGGCTCATCTTCATAGACTAAGGCGTCAGCGGAGGCACCGGGCCAAACGTGTGCGTGGGTACCGAGCACCTCCAGTATGCAGAGCAAGTGCCCTCTGAACACGGGGAGTCAGGCCTGGCTCGTCTGTGTGTGTCTGCACGTGTCCACGCACACGAGTACGTGAGTCTCGGAGGGAAGATGAGGCCGGTAAGGCGGGTTAGGTGACCACAGCAGGGCAGCCACTGCTAGTGACTCCTGACTTCACTGTGAGGGACATGGAGACCACACGGCGGTTCCTGATCCACCAGGAAGACCAGCGTCTTTGGAAGACGACTAGGCGGTGTGCAGGCTAAGAGGAAAGGGAGGAGGCACGCTGGCTGACCTCTGAATGGTCCAGGAAAGAAAAACTGCTGGTCCCAGTGGCCCCCGAGACAATGAACAGGAAGGGACAGAGTCAAGGGAAGCGTCAGGAATCATCATGGATAGGGAAACAGATGTCAAAGGGACTTGGGACTTTTTGTAGGAGTCTCTGGGGGTTGAATATCAGCCAGCTCAGAGAACGTCAAAAAAGGAGCAGGTTTAGGCAGGAGATGCTTTCGATTCGAGGCGTCTCCGGTCACAGCCAGCAGCAAGGCTGGTCCAAACCCATGCCTAACGCGTCCCGATGAACATTCAACTAACGTCAACTGAAAGAGACAAGAAGCAGCGTCCTACCGCTCCAGTAAATCTGTAAAATTTTATGTCTTTGCTTTGGACTTAAATTTTTTGATCGCGTTTCCTTCTGAGCTTGGAGTTCCAAGAACTGTCCCATAGATATTTCCCAAGTGAATCCAAAGCTTCGGTTAAAAATCAGACAGCATCAAAGTAAATTACAGAAGCCTCACTTAGTTCACTGTGCATCATCAGAGAAAGGGTGGCAGACCATACCAGCCCCCTCCAGAAGAGGGGCGCTGACCCCAGGGGCTCTGAAGTGGAAGACGAAAGGACAAAGAAAAAGACTTGCAGGCTCGACGACGCGAACATTCGATCACCGACAATAAGCTAAACAGAGGGAAATATTAAAGCATCAAAGGGAAGCCTAAGTCTAACAGGTAGTGGACAAAGGAAAAGCTCACACTCACTGGTATTCAAAGAAATGCGAATTAAAGCAACCACAGGTATCGTTTTAATAGTACCAGCCAATACCACTGACGTTATGATAAAAACAGAGAAACCAGAGTACGATGAAGATTTTTTCAAAGGGCACCGAGTAAAATTAGTCCAATAAAATAATCCAAAAAAAAGAGAGAGAAAAGATTGAAGTGGTCAAACAAGTTTAGGAAACCAGCAAACCCAGCTCACTGCCCCTCCCACCCCGGAAAGAGCTCCGGCTGCTTCAGCATCAGCTCCCAGGCTGTGGGCAACCCTGGAGGACAGGACCGAGTTAAACCAGGGTGGTTTCCCAAACTTGCTTGGCCACAGAAGCCATGACAGCCATAATCAATCTGCAGAGCGAGCGGCCTACACAACACACTTGTGGAAATGCCGGGACAGTGGTTCCCAGTCACTAGGACTCAGCCCACCACGCCCGGACACCAATCCTGGCTCCATTCTTGTACAGCTGTCCCCAGTAGCTACAGTCCCCTCGTCTGCACAATGAAACCACATCCGCCCTGGGAGGCTGCAGGTGACGAGGAAACGGACTTGGCAGGGTGACCGGCCACGGCGGCCCTGGGAAGTATAACACGTCCACATCCTTCCAACGCCATGTCAAGGTCCACTGGGACGCCGCTGTGGGCGGGGGCGGGAGCCTTACCACTTCGGCCTGCCATCCTTCACGACGTCTTCCTCCTCTTCGTCGTCACTGAACTTCAGTTTCTCGGAATAGTCCACTTCCTCGTGGAGGCCTGCAACAGGTGGTGGGTCAGGAAGACGTGAGAATCTACAACAGGTGGGTCAGGAAGACGTGCTGAGGATGCCCCTGAGGGCTTGCCCCAGTCAGGAATTATGCCAACCCAACTGAGGAGCGAGGCGAGCCACCCAGCTGTCACCACGGGAACAAACTGCAGACGAAAGTCAAGGGCAGTCCTGGCTTCTGGTAACAGACCAACTCTCCCAGAGATAACGGTTCTGAAATCTCAGCAAAACTGTCTAAAAATGTATCAAGAGCGCATGAGAGTGAGCAAACGCGGGTGGAATCCAGACAGGCGTCTACCCGAGAAGCACAGCGGCTCCACCGCTGAGACGGTGAGCTCTGACCCCAGGCACTCACTACCCTCCAGCCCCTGAGCGGCCCAGGTGGCAGACAGGGCCGTCAACTGATGTGTGGGTACACGAAACGCAGTAAATCCATACCATGGGGTAGCGTCTGGCCATAATAAAGAATGACTACTGACACATGCTACGTCGTGCGCCTTGAAAACACTACGCTAAGTCAGAGGAGCCAGATATAAAAAGCCACCTATTATATGATTCCATTTATATGAAATTCCTGAGTGTAAATCCAGGGACAGAAAGATTAGCAGTTACCAGGGGATGTGTGTGGGGTGGAGGTGGGTTGGGGCACGGCTGACAGGCAAAGGGTGTCTTTTGTGGGTGATGAAAACGTTCTGGAACTGAACAGTGGTGACAGTTGCACGCATTTGTAAATAAACTAAAAATCGATGAATCATATCCTTAAAGAAAAAGGCAACACTGACAAACAAAGGGTTAGAGCTGACGAGGCAGTGAGTGCGAGGACATGCTGTCTAGACGGTCACTGTGAGCACGGACAGACGGTCACTGTGAGCACGGACAGACGGTCACTGGGAGCACGGACAGACGGGCACTGGGAGCACGGACAGACGGGCTGAGGAAAAGGACGGGGAGAGACACACCATGGAAACGATAACTAACTAAAGCGGCAGCAGCCATTAGCAGGACGGGACAAAACGGGCTCCGAGACAAGAAGCATCAGTAGAGATGAAGAGCAGCTGAAAACAATACAAAGGGTCACTGT